GGGAAGAAGGAATCACCTGAAACATGCAGCGTTCAAGGTTTCCACCATTCTATATTCGACAAAAAATTTGAGAAGAGCTTGGCTAGTATTACTGAAATAGGAACCAAAAACTGCAAGGAGGGGATTGGAACTCTAAATTCTTGTAAAACTTAAGAAGGAAAATTAATTTGGAGTGGAAAATTGGAAGTATTTGGATTGTTTTTTTCTTGGATTGTTGAGAATAGTACTAAAATATGCTTCCACCATTCGATGTACACAGTTTAGAATTTGGATTGTTTTTTCTTCCTAATGATAGGAGGAATTTCATTCAAAGAAAAGGGATTTAGATTGTTTTGTGCAACTTGTTTCCTCTTTTCTAATGACTAGTCTATCCAAATGGGACATAGATATATGCTCTGTTGGTCAAATAAGATCCAATTTGAGATCCATCATGGTGTCTGCACTTTTGAATATAAAATGAAAAAAATGAACAAGAGAGAATGAAAGCTATGTTGGGAGGTGCTCATTTTAGTATTTGACATGCTTCCAATAAAAAAAAATAAGTTAAAGTATAATTTTGCCTCTAAATTATTCATGGAGGAACAATGTTGACCATAAACTATTCAACATAGCAATGTTGCCCCTAACCTAATTAAATTGGAATAATGTTGCCCTTTCTGTTTAAAATAAAAAAAAATTGTTATCTAAGGCAAGTGGCCTTCATCGATCAAATTTCTTACTTAATGGTCAAATGTTTAGGTTTAAAATGGTGAGGGCAACTTTTCTCTACTTTAATTAATTGAGGGGCTACATTGGTATGTTTGATAGTTTAAGGGCAACATTACTCCTTTACGAATAATTTAAAAGTAAAATTGCACCATAACCCAAAAAATATTTATGAGTAATAAAAACAAAAGAATAAAAGGTAGATTTTTGCTCTTAAATTATCATGCGAGGGGTGTCAAGTAATCTAAAGTAAGGAAAAAAGTGTAATATTACCCTGAGGTATTAAAAAGAAAGTAATGTTGCCCAATTTTAACAAATTTCAAACGTTGACCGTTAAGTTGACTTATTATGCCCAAGTGGCATACACACATAGCAATAGCATCTACCAGGTCACTACCTTCTTGAAGTACTCTCTAATGGCTTCCATGATCTCTAAGTCCTTATGCCTTACCACCATTTTCATGTCCAGAGTGTCCCCTATCCAATAACTAGCTGATGACCCTGTATAATCAGACTTCTAAGTCTTGCTTGAGGTCTTAGATATCTTTGAAGCAGTTGATGCTGTGACAGTCGACGTTCTAGTGATGGATTTTGCCCCCATTGACCCAAAATTTTAACGTGTCCTAATCTTGGACCTCAAATCCCACCCCCTTTCTCCTCATTGGAAGAGCTTGTAATGCTGTAGTGGTCACCCCACTCGCTATATTGAACCTCCTCCTACTCTATCTTAGCGTACTCCTGATCGTGAAGCTAATGATGTTGATAAAGCTTTTGGGTTTGAAGAGGCTCATGCTTTACGTTGAATAGCTTCGCCTCACCATCACTTACACCAATCGTGCAACAATCTCAAGGAAAATTAAAGGTTATCACCAAATTCCCCTATACCATTCAAAGTTGGCTTGCCCTTTCACTAATAATTCTCTTCTTATTAGTATTGAGAAGTATAGTTCAGGTATTGAAACTGAAGCTGTTGATTTGGTTATGATGATGGATTTCGATGTACTTCTCTGTGACTTGATTAGCATAGTAAAGGAGAGCGGGTTCAATGTGGTGGTCAAGCCGTGTTAAGAGGTTGTGATGGTGGCTAAGCTGATTATGATGGATGCCTATGGCAATTCATGGTGGCACAATGGAGGAGTTGTTCATGATCATGTTGTTGGTCTTAGTATTATTGTTCTTGCTTCCAAATCTAAAGGTTATACCACGATTTTTAAGGTTAGAATTGCACGATCCTCTCCTTAATGCTACCAAATTATCATTAGGAATGTTGGGTGCAATCTTGATATTGGAGGAAGAGAGGATATGAGCTTGAATTGGGTAGGTGTGAAGTTTCACTCTGAAATGGTGAATGCCATCCAGGTATAATAAGTCAACTTAATGATCAATGTTTGAAGTTTGTTAAAACTGGACAACATTCTTTTTAATAAAAGATAAATGTACAAATTTAATTATGAATTATTTTTTGATGAGCTTTCGGTAGCCTATATTATAGAGTGGTGTAAAACAAACCATCGACTATTTAAAATGGAACACCCAGCACTAATCGTTAATTTGCCACCAACATTCGTTAACTAGTTACATATTCTCTCTCTACCCTCTGCAAAAACGTGAGGTTGTTACGTTCTCTCTCTCTCTCTATCTTTACTTCTACATCCTCATCCTCCTTGGCTTTCACATAATGGAAATAGCATTATTAGTACCCATAATCATCGTCTTCTTCATGGATTACATAGCCCAGTAACTACAACAACACTATATCTTTATGAAGCATGTGCAGGCTGGGCATCCCATTTGGAATACCATTAAGCAGCATCGGATTGTTGTGTTTCTCCTTTCCATCCTTACTGCCAGAGATTTCCATGACATTGGGTAAGGACGTTGATAAGTCCTGTCGGTAATACCCACTCCTCCCCTTCTTCCTTGCATGAGAAGGCCGCTTGGCAAACCCACCTTCTTGGCAGACTCGAGAAGTTGAGTTAGAGTCTTTTGGTGCATATAGTAAGTTGACATAGCCACCATAGAAGCTCCAACTAGAGTCATAACAGCCAAATGCAATGAATAAGTATCCATAAATAGAAAGTAAGCAACGAAAATAAGTGATGGAAAGAAACCACAAAACTAGAAAGCATAGATGAACATTCAAAAAATAGAGATGCAGAGAAGAGATCATGACAGCATGGCAGGCAAGGCTGTGATGCTAAGCTATGTCTTGCTCATGTGTCCCATGTCATTTAATCCTTCTTCTTTGTGTATATAAGTTATCGTGCATCTTCTTTGTGTCTCGGAGGAGGAGAGAGACATCGAAGGTTTGAGGTGAGAGAGAAAGAGAGAGATCTACCATAGACTCGTGGAACGAATAGAGAGAGAGAGAGAGAGAATGATAAGGTGGGAGGGGAGCCTTAAATCATTGTTTGGTTCCACAAGTTGAACAAAATGATGGTTAGTATCATTTGGACAAAAGTTGCTGGGTACCGCCATTTTATTAATTGATAATTTATTTCATATCACTCATAATATAGGTTATTTAGTGATTTTTAAAAAATAATTCGTAATTAAATTTACATCTTTATCCTTTAATAAATTAGGAACAATGTTACACTTTTTATTATTTTAGGATGCCTGATACTTAAAGTTGGGAAACAAGTGGGCTTGACCCTTAAACCTAATTTTCTTAAAATACTTTATTTTTTAAAATTCAGCCCTTATATAAAGGGCTCAGAGCCAGGGTCATAAGCTCTTATTATTATTTTTTTATTTTTTAGAATTTTTAAAAATTAAATTTTTTAATTATAATATTTCATATATTTTTTAAAAATACAAATTATAATGTTTAAAAATTAAAAATAAATAATATAAATGTTAATTTTAAGGTATAAACTTATATTCTAAAGTTTAAATTTAATTTAAAAATTAAAATATTTTATTTTTTAAGAAAAATAGGACTAAAGGGGCTGTTCAAGCCCATTTTTTCAGCGCCTATTAGGGCTAGGCTTGAAAGCCCAATTTTTTAAAAAAATATTATTTTTTTAAATCCAAACTCTTATAAAAATAGGCTTAAAAGTGCAGCCCTTCAGGCCTGACTCTACTAACACTTCTCACGTGATACTTCGAGAACATATTTGCACCTTTATCCTACAAAAAGTAACTCCTTCTATTAAAAAATATAAGATTTTTTTTTTGAGGTAAGATGTTAAAAAATATATGGCATTTTAGATCCTTCAAGGTGCAATTAAATATTTTCCACCCTCAAAAATGCCTTTAATTAGAGGTATGGTCAATACAATTTTCTAATTCAAATGCCTTTTTTTTTTAAGTAAAGAGAGAAAATACCTTTTAAATAAGAGTAAATATGAAAAGAGCATGTAGGGTATGATTCAATTAAAAATGTCTTATAATATTGAACAAGAAATTAATTTCCAAAACTATGAATTAACGATAGTTATGTTCTTGATATTTTTTTCTTAAAAAAAATAAGTAATAAATATCAATTCAAGTAAGTACAAATTTATAAGCTTTAATTGTAAATAAGATATCTATATTTCAAATATATTCAAGTTGTATAACAAATTTTAATTGTAATTATCTAAATCAATATTTAAAACTCATTTTTTTAAATATTTTATTAGAGACCTAAGTGAATTCAATTTTTTTGTACCTAATTGTCATTCTCCCAGGAAAAATCGTTGAAGGCAACGATGCTGCGTCATTGGCATTACCAGCGGTGAATTTCGGAGGATTAGAGGAAGGTGGAAGAATGTTTGTTAAAAATATATATGTATATATATATATATATATATATATTGCTCACGATCTTAAACTTTCTGGTTTGACCTGTTTCCTTCAATGACTTGATTATACAAACATTGGCCAGGTTACTCTGCTTTCATATGAGACCATATTAGAGCTAATGCACAAGCTAATAAGAGAGGATCCACTAACACAAATCAACCTCACTGGATAAATGCTAATTAGAGTTTTACTCAGAGGAGTTCTAGAGGGAAGAAAATTTAGAGCCAACAAGCCAATGTGCCATGTCTGTAACAAGCTAAGGCCATATTGCAGTTAATTGTCACTACCATCTGGACAGAACTTTCATGGCAATCACTATGGATTGAACATAGAAGAAATGAAACTCACTTAGCCTCTTTAATAATTAATACACGTATAACAATTTCCTTTTTTCTTTTTTCTTGAATATTGTTTTGCATAATTTTTCGGAGCAAAATTGAATTTCAGATGCTATTTTTGTCCACGTTCATCTCAGAATTACAAATAAGATGCTCATTCTGTGTTTTCCTTTCAACAAATGGCACAAAACATATTACAATCAGAAAAAGCTTTACAGTTTTTCTACAGTTTTTCTTTTGTCTGGCCTTACACTGAAATCCTCGCTCAGAGCAAACTTTGAATCTGGGTTTCAAGATAACTTTTATAACTGCTCATGATAGCCAAAGTTTATACGAGTGCCACTTTTATTATGGGACTTTCAAAGTCATGAATAACTTGGCTACAAATACAAAAAAGAAATGAAACTTCGCAGCCGCCGTTAAAACAATAAAAAATAAAAAATAAAAACTCATCCACGACTATTACTTCGACAGCCATAAAGGACATTGAATCAGCAAGCAATTTGCACGGCTAGTCTGTTAATATTAGTGGTGTTGCTGTTGCCACTTGCACCGGATATTTGCTGTGCACCAAATGTTTCCTTCGTCACGGCTAAAGTACACGCCGGCTTTCCAGCACATGCTTTTTCCACAACAGACATGCTAGTACTGGCATCAGATGAGCCTTTTTGGAAAGACCCACATTGTCCCTGTGGATTTCCAAAGCTAGCAAATTCAACTTTTGACATTTTCCCGCCTTCACATGACAGCTCCAGATTGGCACCTTCATATGCATTAGCACAAACTGTTCCTACTGATACAGTTTGGAAGGATATATTCTGAGGATTCCCACCTACTTCTTCAAACAAAACCAGTATGTTTTCTTTGTTGCTGAAGTATTGCCTAGGAACATGGTACCATCTCTGTGTTGGATTACCACAATTGTATGTGCATTTGCTTGATTGGTATGCTCCTCTATAATCACATGTTTGACTGCATCCATCAGAACCAGCAACATTCAATGGCCAATACCGACCAATACCGTGACCATTCACCCAAGCTTCTCCTTTTCCCATGCCTTGTAAGTCCAATACCACAGGGTCGGTCCCAGAAGGAACATTAAACTTGGCCTTATACCAAGTCATTCCTTTCCCAACAGGAAGATTATTGCTAGAACCAGATTTCCATACCCCTTTACGGAGACGTTGAGCCTCGCCATTCAAGCCAGTTTTGTAAGACCAAGAATTGTTTGTCAAGTCCATAGAGACACTGTTCTTGCCAATTAACTTAACTGGACCGTCTACTATTCCTGTGTCTATCAAATCATACTTTGCACCATAATTTGGAAGCCCCACAGTTACACTGAGTAGAGTTATGATGTTTGTTCCCTCTGTCAGAGAAACTGGTTTCTCAAATGTGAAATTCCCCCCTGTTTGACTGAATTGGGATCCTACAAGATTTTTGTTAACATAAGCATAAAGAGCATGACCCATTGTGACCACTTGAAGTGTTGCATTTTGCCAAGAGGAAGTGTCATTGATGTTAACAGTTGTCATGTACCACAAATAGTCACTTGCATCAAGAGTGAAGTCTTTCTGCTCAAGAAGTAAGTTTTCTGTAGAAGTTCCCTTGCCACTCAGCGTGTCTTCTATGTTCTCTGCCATCCATTCCCAAGTAAGATGAGCAGATGAAGCATCAACTTTCTTCACCATCAATGAGGTTTGAGTATTAACCTTTGCAGTATTGTAAATCTCTTTACTGCAATTTTCAAGAATGGATACAGACCAAGCAGGAACAAAGAACTTGCCACCACCATTGGGCAAGTCTACAGTAGCATCTTGGCTGCCATCAGTGTTACTCAAGTAGCAAAATTTTCCACCATTACTACTGGTGTATGTGGTCAAGTTGACTGAATTTCCAACGCTTGTTTCAGTTCTTGTGGCGCTTGTAATAATCTTCTCTCCCGATTTTATTGCTGCATGAAGTTGCTTAAGATGCCCATATTTGGGTTGATTCAAAGTTCCATACTCATTAAGTGGTGCATCATAATCATAACTTGTTGTGATATATGGGCCTCCAGCTGTTCTTTCAAAGTTTGTTCCTCCATGGAACATGTAGTAATTGTTTAGCACTCCACCATTTTGGAAGAAGCGAGCCACTGAGTAAGCAACATCTTCAGCAGTCCTGTGTGGTAATTTTTCACCCCATTTTTGAAACCACCCAACCCAATTCTCTGTGAAAACTTTTGGGTTTTTAGGGTTATTGCCATTGGGTTGGAAGCTGTCACAATAAAAGCCATTACAAGTTTGGATGACAGTACTAGGAGCATCATTCTGTTGGCACATGATCCAAGGAACACCAATGTTTTGTGCTAGAGCCATTTCAGCGCACCATTTCACATACTGTTTCCCTGCATCTCCATAACCTGACATGATGTTCCCATACTCATTCTCAATTTGTGCAAGAATGATGGGTCCTCCTTGAGATGCAAAAAGGTTAGCTTCTTTACACATGGTCACAATTTTGGTGACGAAAGTTTGCATTTCTTTCTTCCAAGGTTCATTATCAGTTCTGACCTGAATCCCGGGAATTTTGTGTAGCCATAATGGAAGGCCTCCAAAATTCCATTCAGCACAAACATAAGGACCAATCCTTATAATGCCATAGAGTCCATGTTCTTGGACGAGCTTGAAAAACTTGACGAAGTTCAAGTTTTTTTTGAAGTCATACTTCCCTTTCACAGGTTCATGGCGATCCCAAAAAACGTAGGTCTCAATGGCATCAAGACCTGAATCTTTAGCCTTTTGAAGAATTTGAGGCCACATTTTCTCCGTGCTTCGTGGGAAGTGAACTGCCCCGGATAAAATAACACGCCTCTCTCCATTGATGATGAAAGCAGTTTGATCATATGATACCTCTATGGCAGTGGCAGAGCATAAGCCAAGCAATGATAAGCTAAATAGGACAACCTTAGTCCATGAAGAACAAGTTGAATGAAAAGAGGAACCCATGTCATGAATGGTGATTATTCAACTTTGTTACGATCTTTGAAGAATGGAATGGGGTTTAAATATACACTGCAACAAAGAAACCTAGACGCTAGAAATGGAAAGTTCTTGATATGTTTGAACGCGTAAACTTCATTTCCATTAGAAACAAGTGGACGAACACTCTAGTGGTCATATGATTGGTTTTGAACTTGGTAAGCTACGGAGTAGGATCGGTAGAGCAAACTCAAAATTAGTATTGCTATTTTAAAAGTGTCTTGTGTTTCCACATATATTCTATATACAGTGTTCGCTTTCCTATCATCATGGATCGGTATTTTGTAGACAAAGTCACTGAGACATTATTTTTATTACCCAGAACTGAGACATGCATGTGCTAGCTAATTTAATATGATATATATGATACTTCAAATTATATTGAATCTAATATATGTATTTAAATAAATTAGAAAGGCGTTCTATGCTGATGATACTCACAAATTAAAAGAATGAGACACACTATTCAAGGTCTATAGATCAATATTGTTAAAACTTGTCGGGTTCGACTAGAACAATAATGATAGAACCAATCAAAAAGTGAATCGGTTAAAACCGGTAAAGCTGGTAGAAACCAATTAGAAGAACTGGTTTTTCATTATTTTGTTTTAAAAAATGTCAATAATCCGAAACTATTTTACTATGTTCCTCGTTCAGTGGTCATCACAATTATGAGTATCATATATTGCTCATTGTTATAACAAGTCTTGAATTGTCCAGTTTGAAGGGTACATCTAGATTAAAATTTTTTGTTTAAATAATCAATTTTCTTTTAGAGAATAGCATTTGTAGAATTATAAAAGTCAACCTGGATGGCCCAGGTTAATGGTGAGCAAGAAATGTGGCTTATGAATAAAGGTATAAAAAATGCTGATTGCAGCTTGCCTTAATTTATGGACGAAAATAAATGCAGAGTGACCCGTAGGAAAATGATAAGTAGTAATAACAAATCAGAGGAAGCAAATTATGTAATTGAACTCCGGTGAAATATTTTTATGGTTATCAGCTTTAATTTTGATTTTTGCTCCTATACTTTATTACAGTTAAATGAAATGCTCATGTAAATCTTGAAATTGTGCAGCAAACTAATCTTATTTAAATAATTAGGTTTCAAACTAATCTTACTTAAAAGAAACTTGCCATAAAGAGAGTTTTACATCTATATAATCCAACTCCGACTTACCTGAACTAATTAGAGCCCAATATATAGGTTTCAGAAACCATTTGGTATTATTTAAAAAAAAAAATTCTAAGAAATAGTTTTATGTTTTATAAACTAGTTTACAAACGAAACACACGTATTCTGAATGTATATTTGCAGTCGTGCAACTTTGTAGGGATGTAGGATCAGAGAATGTCGCTGATCCACGACGGTTCTGCTCAAATAAAAAATTGGGATGCCGTTTTGTTCCTTTACAGACACATTTATCTTTCTTCACTTCATCGACATCTTGTTATTCCTGAAGATTTTAGCCAGGCCATAAAATAATTAGAGATCATTAAAAGCTTCAATGATCAGGGTTTTCTGGGTATCCTCAAGCTTCGTGTAAAAAAAGGAATCAACCTTGCAGTACGTGACAGTCGTGCAAGTGATCCTTACGTTGTTGTCACCATGCACGAACAGGTTACATTAATCACTGTCCAATCACGAATTGAATTGTATCATGTTTGTGTTCAGATTAAACACTGTTCAAGTTTTGGAAAAACGCTTTTTCTGCGTATTCTGTTTTATTTGATATTCGCGTTTGTGTTTGTGCCACTATTTTAACATTTGGAAAAAAGTTCTGTTTTTTCTCTTTTCTTTTTGGATTTATATTGCTCTTGCAAAATTTTGGGATCGTCATTTGCTTTATATTATATTTATTTGAATTTCTATTGATAGGACAGAAATGAAACAAGATTATATTGTGTTATTACGTATGACAAACCTAAACCATAACATACAAATAAGAAAATAAGTTAAATTGTACCTCCTTGAATTTAAAGAGTTAATTACAACATCCTCATATAATCTACAAACAGAGAACAAGACACCTTGAATTTTATTTAAGAAGTCACAAGCACTATTTAAACAAAAAAAATTGCTATACGTTATATTTTGAAGCTCATTAACCAATTTTGTAATTACACTTTAGTTTAAGGAGTTGAAAGTACTCCTTCGTTCTTTCAAAATATATGTAGTTACGTGAAGAGGGTTTGAATCAATGACTTGCGGCCTTACCCTATATCTGTACAACTTAAACCATATTTTCAAATATTTTATGCCTTGTTCCTAACCCCTTCGTATACAGTAAATTATTTTATTTTAAAATATTATTATAATAACAGATCTTTAATTTGTCTTCCAAACATACACATTTAAAAAAAAAAAAATATACCCAATGTTTTAGTTTTTAATTTTTTTTGGCAAAAATACCCCCATATATTATATATATAATACTGACAAATGTACTCCTATTATATAAAAACATTCAGAATTTAACTAAAATGCAGAGTAATTTATTTTAGGAGAAGGCTCTATGCACATTTTCTTCATATGTACTCCTTTCCTTATCAATATCAATGTAAAAATATAAAAGGAATAGAAGCGTGTAAAATTTTAAATATGTTTCTATATAAAAAAATGAAAAAAGTGATGTTATATATGTTTTTTTATGAAGAGTAGTTTTAAAAATATTTTGTAAATATTATATTATCTAAAAAATCATAGCATTACCATTGCTTATAAATAGAACCAAATGCTACAAATGTCACCGAAGGCAGTATACCTTTGATACATGAACATCTTCTTGGTTTCTTGTTTAATATTCAAACTGACACAGAAACTGAGGACTAAAGTAGTTGAAAGTGAGTGCAATCCTGAGTGGAATGATGAGCTGACATTGTATGTAAAGAGAATCGATGCTCCAATCATTCTAGTAAGTACTCAAACAAATAATCTCTCGCTCTAACGGCCAAATATATTCTTCATCAATCAGATCAGATCAGTGATGATTCGTTCTTGTGTTGCAGGCGGTGTTGGACAAAGACACGTTCACAGAGGACGACCCGATGGGGGAAGCTGAATTAGACATAAAGCCATTGCTGGAGTGTGTGAAGATGAACATGGCTTCAACTCAAGATCTTGAAGAAGGCGGCGTACTCAGGACAGTTCAACCTAGTAGGAATAACTGTCTCTCTGAGGAGAGCTTGTGCACGTGGACTGATGGAAAATTCCGACAAGAAATGTTTCTCAGACTGACAAAAGTTGAGCGAGGTGAACTGCTCGTGCAAATTGAGTGGAATGATCAAGGTTGTTTGGGATTATCCAACCTTGACTTTTAACCCTTTCTTTGTTCATTAATTAATACTCTCTCTCTCTCTCTCTATATATATACACACACAGATATACATATATGTATATGTATATATATATATTTATATAGGCACATAGGGTCATCAAAATTGAAATTTATTAATGGGAGAATTAATTATTACAAGGTCCATTAATAACTAAATTAAAGCCATTCACAACATAATAACCTTACTTCATTTATTAATGAACCTTATAATAATTAATTTATTTATGTGGGGCTTCATCATAATTCTCTCTTTATTAATTTCTTGGCTTGATTCAAAGGTTGAGACAAAAACTTGACCTAATTAATTACTATATGTTATAATTATGAGATAGCCTTATATTATTTGTTTTAACACCCCCAGAAAGAAATTACGTTTTGGTTGAAAGTAATAAACTTTATATTTTTTCTAATTGTTTAATTTGTAAATTTTTATTTTAAGTATTAAAACCTTACGTACATGCAATGAGTATATTGACTCACTAGCTATAGTAGATATTTTGATTAAATTTATTATTGAATTAAAATACAATATTATCTAGTGGAAATTTGTAGATATTTTGAATATATATGACAAAATTATTCCAAAATAAAATATCTACAAGTCTCAATCCTGTTCTAATGCACCAAGAAAGGTCAACCTCAAAATTCAGTTCTCTCATTCTCAAAAACTTCTGGCGCATTTATATGCATAAAAATAGAGTTATCAATTAAGATTGGATTCTTCAAGCTACATACCTATTTAGGCACGACTCTTATAAACTCTTTAAAAATGGACTCGAGTTTAAACTAGCTAATTTTTTCAAGTCTTGAGCTCAAACTAGCCCTTTGAGGCCTCTTACTTTTCTTTCTCATTTGTTTTCAATTAGCATGAAGTTGAAATTGTTAAAAATTGTTTGATTGAAATTTTTAACATTGCAAAATAACGTAATTAAAATTGTTTGGTTCATTTTAACTTTTAAATTAATATATGAAAATGACACATTTGTATAATAATTTAAAATAAAATTAATTAAAAACACTTATGGGGGCTTTCGACTCCACCTTGAGAACTATCAATAAAAGCCGAACTTGAACAGTATGGTTAATTTAAACTATTAAAGACTTGAAGGCTTAAGCCGCCAAGAACCAGCCGGCTAGCCGACAACTCTGCACATAATCTAGCAAGTGCGTGACCTGGAAGAATTTGCCTGGTTCTTATAATTTTACTGAAAATATCATACTCCAGCTTAGAGACAAAACAGTGACAAAAATCTTGAACCCTAATTTGGAAGCTTCTTTGCAGATTTTTTATATGCAAATATATATGTAAAACAGATTTGTAAGGTTACGGTTTAATGCTACTGGGTTTGCCTTATCTTCCCAAATATTATTCTTCAATGGAAGTGGCAGCTTCTGCAACAGCACCATCAAGCCTCTCAACTTCTTCTCTGACAAACCTACAGATTCATCCACTGTACAACAGACACAGCTTCTCACTACCTGCGAGAAAGCATAACCATCATCATGTTCTTGTTCATCAATATAATCAATGTCGATATGATGTAACAGTGAAGTGTGTGGGAACAGCCAAGTATGATGAGGTGGAGGTGGTGGACGAAGAGATGGAGAAGATAAGGAGGCTTCAGAATGGGTCGGATGTGAGAGGGGTGGCATTGGCGGGAGAGAAAGGGAGGAAGATTGATCTCACTCCTGCTGCGGCGGAAGCCATAGCTGAGAGCTTTGGAGAGTGGGTCATCAATGGTGTCAAGAAGGACGGTGACGTGAGGGTGTCACTCGGGCGTGACCCGAGGATTTCCGGGTCGAATCTGAGCGTGGCGGTGTTTGGAGGGCTTACTCGTGCAGGTTGCATGGTGTTTGATATGGGAGTGGCAACCACACCAGCTTGTTTCATGAGCACTGTGTTGCCCCCATTTGCTTATGATGCTTCCATTATGGTAAGTCACTGCATTTTCTATTAAAATCTGATTTTAAATGTTTTTTAAAAAATATTTGAATATCTTTTTAGATTTTTTTTTATTTTTTATCTAGCCTCTAGGCTCTAATCATAATTTATAATTTTTATTGGTCTCCGTTTCCTTTTGATGTAAAATTTAAGTATATTTTGTTTTTCTCCCTTGATTGTGTGTTATTTTATTTTTTTAGGGAAAATCAGGCTCATCCTACAAAAATAATTTAAATATAAAAAAGTCTCATCAAATCACAAAATTACTTTTAAATTGCATGTTCTTTATTAAATTTGTCAATTATTATTGAATACTTTTTCTGTCCCCATTTATAAAACATTTTTAAAGATGATTTGACATTTTAAATATAAAATATTTTGACAAAACTAAAATTTTGATATTAGTTATACTTGTTTTAATATTATCCTTCACTCCTTATTATATTTTATCTCCTTATTTAATGTTTCATAAATAATGTTATATTAAATTAAGAGTATTTTTGAATTAGTAATACAACGAACTAACAACTTTCATAAACAATACTCCCTTTGTTAGGAAATATAAGATTTTTTTTAAGATTGAATATTAAAAAATATAATGTATTTTTAATTTTTTAATGTGTAATTAATGGGTTTTTTTTAAATACTCTTAATAAATAAATCATTCAACTTGTCACTTTTAAGGAGACAAAATATTAAATAAAGACATATATGAAAATATTGTGTTAGTTTAAAGATAATCAACTAATTTATTAAGGAGTGTAATTCAATTAAAAATATCTTATATATTTTTTAAAAAAATATAAGATTTCAAAGTAAGTTTATGACTTGTAGAATTTTTTCCCATTTAAATTTTTCTATGGAACATTTTTTTTTATTTTTAACCACTATATTTTATAAATAAGTTGAATGGATACATAATTTTAGTTTTGGATTCTCTTTTGTCACAACTTACCACAAGACCACACCAACAAGTGGGATGCTATGGAGATGGGGGGGAAGGTGTGGGGGCGCGCACAAGTAAAAATCATTGAATATAAATATTTTTTTAATGAAGTATATGAATGGTAATTTTATTGAACATTACAAATAGGAAAAAAAGGAAGAAAAGAAGCACTCCCTCTCTTAAAAAATATAAGATATTTTTTGAGGAGTTGGATATTAAAAAATTTGAGGTATTTTTAATTTTTGAGATGTAATTATTATCTTTTTTTTTTAAAGTATTTCTATTGATAAATGACTTTATATTTATTATAGAGTATTTAATATGAATAAATATAAAAAGATAGAATTAATTTAAAAGTAAATAACTATTTTATTAAAAAGTAAAATTTAATTAAAAATATTTTATATTTTTGGACCTTGATTCTAACTTAAGTAATACTTTAAGTTTGTTTAGATAATCTCAAAAATATATTTAAATTATATTTAAAATGTGTTTTTTTATCAAATTTAATAAATAGTTGAATTCTTTAAATAAATTTTTTATCAAATTTGAACTGAAAAACTAATCACACGCTCGTGGTATCTCCATACAACCATTAATGTTCCATGAAGGCATGAACATAACGAGTATAAAAGTGGAAGATGATCAGTCAATAATAATAATAATAATAATAATAATAATAGTAATAAAAGCGGCGGATGAGTACAGAACAAAGTTATGACAAGAAATCAGCATGATTGGTGCAGATGACAGCATCTCACTTGCCTTACACTCGAAATGGCCTCAAATTTTTCACCAAGAAAGGAGGACTGACGTCTGTGGAGGTAGAGGAAATTTGCAATGAAGCAGCTCGTAAATACGCAAACAGGCTCGCAAAAGTCTCTACTTTGCTCAAAACTCTTCCGCAGAAAGTTGATTTCATGACTGCTTATGCGCTTCATCTCAGAGAAATCATCAAGCAGAGAGTCAACCATCCTCTTCATTATGATCTTCCCCTCAAGGGATTTCAGGTATCGAAGCCTTCGTTCTCATTTTGAGTTTCATGTTTCGTTTATATTTACTTATTTAGAGCTATCCATTGTACTAAAGTAGCATAATCCTCTGTTCCATTCCAAGCAATCGTCTTGTCTGATACTTCGGTACTTCTCTTGTCCTAAACCCGCGCAGATAATAGTGAACGCAGGAAATGGCTCCGGCGGATTCTTCACCTGGAATGTTCTAGACAAGCTTGGTGCTGATACATTCGGTTCCCTTCATCTCAATCCGGACGGCATGTTTCCTAACCATATCCCTAATCCTGAGGACAAAACCGCCATGGGCGTGACCAGATCAGCTGTCCTTGAGAACTCGGCCGATCTCGGCGTTGTTTTCGACACCGACGTGGACCGGAGCGGCGTGGTGGACAACAAAGGAAATCCTATAAATGGTGACAAGCTCATTGCCCTCATGTCCGCCATTGTACTGAGAGAGAATCCAGGATCTACCATAGTCACTGATGCTCGCACCAGCACGGCTCTCACCAGATTTATAACTGATAGAGGAGGGCACCATTGTTTGTACCGAGTTGGGTACAGAAATGTCATTGACAAAGGAGTTCAACTTAACGGGGATGGAATTGAAACTCATCTTATGATGGAAACTTCTGGACATGGTGCCCTGAAGGAGAATTATTTCCTCGATGATGGTTAGTTTGGAATGTTAATGGTTGGTTTTGAAATTATGGATCATCCTCACGTACTGATGAAATTTCTTTGATTTTGTGATGAAGGGGCGTACATGGTGGTGAAGATTATAATTGAAATGGTGCGAATGAAGCTGGAAGGATCAGACAAAGGGATTGGTAGTCTCATTGAAGATCTTGAAGAACCAAAAGAATCAATAGAACTAAGGATGAATATCATTTCAGAACCCAGAGATGCAAAGGCAAAAGGATCTGAAGCCATCGAAACATTTCGAAACTACATTCAGGTACGCACACTCTAGAACAACAAAATCAATGTTTCAAGTGTTTTGTGATGATTTAAGATCATGAATCTTTCTAATGTAGGAAGGGAGACTCAAAGGGTGGGAACTAGATTCTTGTGGGGATTGTTGGGTGAGCGATGGATGCCTTGTGGATACTAATGACACCCCAACAGCCATTGATGCTCACATGTACAGGTGATGATCCTAAGCTCAAACATAGCCTACTTGTCCTACTTGTTCACCATTTTCTGATTATGTTTTATGTCAGATTAAAATTATATCTTGACCATCTAAAAATAACTTGAGTATTAATTATTACCCTTTATCCTGTTTGGTGCCTTATTAATGCATGAGCTATGTTTAGAAGACTAAAAATGGTTCTGAGTATGAGATTTATGCATGAAAACTGATATGTTGGTGGAAACTCAGGGCAAAAGTTAAGGATGAAGAGAGGGGAGAACATGGTTGGGTTCACATGAGGCAAAGTATACACAACCCTAACATTGCTGTGAATATGCAATCAACTGCAGATGGAGGTTGCTTGTCAATGGCAAGGGATTTCAGAGACGGGTATACTGTTTACTCCTAAATGCATATTTCATCCCTCTAAAAGTTCTGTTCTATAAACATTTTCATTAAATCATTGCAGATTTCTCAAAGCAAGTGGAGTGGATAGATTTCTTGACATCACTCAAGTTGAAAAGTTTGCTGCAAATGGGATTACAGCCTAGGCTTCAATAATCAATGATCTGTTCTGTTCTACACACAGTGAGAGGCTAAGGTTGGTCTTAATCAAGATTACATAGTTATTATAAACTTTGGCTACATGGTATACTGAAGTTGTTTTCAGGAGTACATAATTTGAGTTTGAATCCAAGTCAAAGCCAAACAAAGAAAAGTTGTGTTATATCAGTTTGATAATAATGTACAGTAAGAAAATGAAAAGAAAGTATACAAATATGGAGTACATACCATAGATCAGCAACTTCTATTGAATCAGTGTATTTTTGTATTCAAAAGGTATTGTATATACAGTTGTTATGCATATATCCTCTGTTTCTCACCTTTGAAAGAATATTCATTATTAAGACTTGCCGTTCCATTAGAGAAGGAAATTTCTGCAACATAATAATCAATGCATTCAATGGAAGGGAAGGAACAGAATACATTAGCATCTATGCAGGAAAAATCAGAAGCTTAATCATGCAGATTTTTGTGCTCTTTAATTTTTGATACACTGCAGTACTAATACTGAAAGTTGAAACACTTTCAGACTCTTCACAAATCTCTCAATTGTCTATATGATTTTTGTTTATACAAAAATCAAAAGTTTATTGATTTAGTTACAACTGATTTAATCATAATTCGACCACAATCAGAAACTAGAGTTATGGAGTGAGTTGAGCATCAATATCGTTGCTCAAGTCAATTGCAAGCTGAATCATGGAGTGAGGATCTGGAACTTGGGGATGAAGTTTTTCATATTCCAAGGTCCAATGTACCACACTTCCCTTATTATCCTTTGGAGTGACTTGAATTGTGGCTTTGAAGCTCTTGTAGTGATCAAGCACATCACCCTCTAAAAATCTGAATGTGATCAAGTTCCTTTCTGTGTCTATGGCCTCAACCAGCTCCTTTGCCACGCAGGCCTTCCCATCTATGGATTCACATCGAGAATTATTCATTGATCAGCGTTATTCTCAAAAGTCATGGATCTATTATATTCCTCAGAAGAAAACATGTTACTATGGCAAAACAGATCATTATTATTTGCCTTCACAAACTTCTGACAAAGTGAGACATATTTGAGCAGTGAAGATCTTTTCCTACTTTTATGAATAACATCAGGACTCAGAATTTATTTGACATGATCATATGTTCCTCTGACACTGAGACATAAAATAAGGACCAAGTCAGGACTCAATTTATTTAACATGATCATGTGTTCCTCTGACACAGACGCAGAATAAGGATCAAGATTGGTGCTAAAACCTTTATATCTTAGATCATCGAGTAGCTTGTAGGCTTACCAAGAACAAAATTCCAAATAATGATGGAGCCCTCCTTTCCCCAATCACCCTGATGCAGAACAACAGTCTTGACTTTATCAGGAGAAACATTGGCTATGTGGTGACTTCCGTTGATGAAATTTTCATGGAACTTCTCAGCAGCAGAATTTATGTGGACATCAAATTCAGCCTTCCCAAACGGAGGCATCTGGTTTTTCCCTTCTGAGTTCTGATCGATATTTGCTGAAGGTCTCGTACATCCAGGACGACAAGTCAAAGTCAATAAAGTGGCCATAATTGCAAGTCGCAGGCTTGCAGCCACTGATTGCTTGCCAAGCCCAAACCTGACCGCTCTAGTCAACAACAACGTCCATCATGTTGGGACCCTCTTAACAAGGGATTTTTTTTTTTTTCATAACTTTATAATCGTATATTAATGTTGGTTTTATGTTTAATTTTTTTAAATTTAATCATAACTTCTCTAAGATTTAGGAATAAATCCCTTCAAATTACTTATAATAAATTTAATACTTAGAAATAATTAAGGGAGAATTATAAAGAGATTATAAATAAGAAAAATGTTAATAGAAAGCTTCTTTTTCTGAGTTTCTGCAGGAGAGTGAGAATTGATCGTCACAAAAGTCCTAGTCTTAAATTGGGATCCTCACTAGCACAGGAGCTTTAATTAGTTATCAAATCAAAATATTAATAATCTACTGTCATTCTTACCATGCTAATTGATTTTGATCATACAAAATAAAAATTATTTTTTTCAAGAGAACTGACATTTTAATATATGTTGATGGACTTCCATATAAGTATGTTTTTGTGAAAAAGCTACCGAGTTGATGAGCTGCGACAGTTGAGAAAAGAACAACTTCCTGATCAGAAAATAGTAAAATCATTGCAATATCTGTTGTATGATAAACCTTCTAAAAATTGTAATGGATTTTGATGATAGCAAGGTGTTGGATGTTTTGGCGTGTGTGCGCGTTTTTTTTTTAATTAGCAACCATCTCACTGTTCAGAGTCAGATCAAAACAAAATTATGAACCATATGACCCAGTCATCCCAAACATGAGTTCCCAAAGGGAGCTCCGGGCTCAGGACTTGCCATTACATTTGTTGCATCATTCACTTTTCTATGAACTGATATCTTCTTCTTCTTGTTTTTTTTTCCCCTTGAATTATTTTGGAGGCAAAGCCTACATATTGAAAAAGAAACTACAAGGTAATTAAAGTAACCCTCGTCAGCAGATCTGTATCGATCTAAAATCGTAGCTCATGATGGCTAAACACTCTGAAGGTGGTTTAATAATTACGCTAAGTTGCTGATCTGAAGTATTGGTGGTGATATCTTCAATTTACTTTCCATTCGCTTTTGATCTGACTCAATGTTGTTGCAGAATCTACTTCTAGTTCAATCCTTCAAAATCTCGCTTCCCAACATTTCTCAAGCCCAACCAGTAATATTCCTTGCATAGCCGAGCAACCATCATCTCTGATCTTCCTCTCCAATACCTCAGTAATTGTGACTTGCAGATTAATGAGGCTTAAATCTACAAAGTATAAAACGTGCAGGCTGCGAAAGAATGAGTCCAATCTCAAATAGGATTTTGACTTTTTATATTATTCTCATCACTTCTTCGCCTCTCATCATTCAATTCACATATTTTAAGGACTAGGCTTGTGATTGTGGCCACTATCACTGGCAACAACATCTTCAGGAACAAACCTTCTCCAAAACCAATGTGTGCCCCAGACTCGGTTCATTTCTTCAATAGGCACATTCTTTGTCTCCGGGAGAAGCAAAGCCACGAAAATTGTCATTACGGTGACAAGTCCAGCAAAGATGAAGAACAGACCGAACTTAAAGTGGCAAAGCATGGAAAGAAAGACTTGAGCTATGGCGAATGTGAAAAACATGTTCACTGCAACATTTATAGCTTGTCCCGCAGATCGAACCTCAAGAGGACATATTTCACTCGGCACCAACCATCCCAAAGGTCCCCAAGACCAAGCATACGCTGCAACGAACAAGCATATGATGAATAAAAGCAGGTCAGCTTCACCTTTGCTGAACGACCCTTCTCCTTTAACTCCAAACTTCATAGCTATCATGAGCCCCACAGAAATCTAGAAGCAATTCATGGCAATGTATAAGAGCTAGTTGACCTTGAAGGTTATATATAAGAGACTTGGTTGTGTGTGTGTGTGTGTGTACGATACCTGACAAAGAAACATTTGAATGCCACCTTCAAGGAACAAGATCCTTCTTCCAAACTTGTCCACGGAGAAAATAGAAATAATGGTGGCGATGACATTGACGCTGCCGGTGATAACGGCGGACATTAGAGAAGCATCGCCGCCGAAACCGAGAGTCTGGAAAAGGAGAGGCGCGTAAAACATGATGACGTTGATGCCTGTGAGTTGTTGGAAGCATGGAATGAGAGAGCAGAGTGTGAGTTGAGGTCTATATTTATGTTGTGTGATGGTTTTCCAAGGATGTACCACCTGCCTAGCCACTTCAATCAAGTCGATGAGATCTTGAAACTCGTCGTCCACCTTCTGGGTTCCACGAATCTTCTGCAATATAATCTTAGCTTGACCATATTCTCCTCTTTCGATCATGGAGTTTGGCGTGTCACCCAAGAAAAGAGACGCAACACACAACAGAAGAGCCGGTGCTGCTCCTACACCTAAAGAAATTCTCCATCCATGTTCATGCTCAGCAGTTAAATAGTTGATAAAATTTGCTATCAAAATGCCTATTGTTATCATCATCTGGAATCCCATGTTCAATGCGCCTCTGATATTTGGCGGAGCCATTTCAGATAAATACACCGGAACAGACTGTTGACATATAAAACAAAATTGAATGTGGTTAGTTAATTAATCCTTGAACAACAAATAAAGGAGTATCAGGGGGAAAAAAAAATCACACGCTAAGAGTTTATTACTTACTTGATTACAATATCCCACGCCAAAACCTAGCAACAGACGGCCAACGATGAGCATGTGAACGTTTATGGCAAAACCATTCAACAAGGCACCGACAAGGAAGAACAATCCTCCAAGAAACATGGAGGTTTTACGGCCCAGAATTCTTGTGGTGTTAGAGGCAAAGAGAGAGGCTATCAATGCTGCGAGGTATAGAGATGAGGTGAACAATGTAAGGAGCTCATTGTTGTATTTGCAGTACGTGCACTTATGGCCTTTTAATCCATCCTTGACTTGTTTGTACACAGAAGGGAAGAACTTGAGCAAGAATGGGTCCATGGAAGTTACACCTCCGGTGATCCCAAGGTCGTAACCAAAGAGAAGACCTCCCATGGCAGCCACGAAGCAAGAGACCAATACGTAAGTTGTGACTTTGTCCTCATAATAATTCCTTGATTTAATATGATGAACATAAGCTCCTCCTCCAGCCATCTTTAAAATATCTGGTGATGTATGGATATTGTCTTTCAACTCTTTAGATCCTTTTAATTATTTGCCTTTGTTGTGCACACCAGACTTGATAAATGATAAGTTCGTGATGAGTTATATAGGTTTTGAGACGATGACAAATATGACAAGTCTAGGAGGTTTTCACAACGACATTGTGCTTTTTGAGGTCTGTCATACAATCACAATATCCTAAATTTGGAATCTTTTTTGCCCGATTTCGTTGTTACAGTACTGTCGCATGGATATATTTTATATAAAACACATATTGTGTCCTATGAGCAGCTAGTTGTTTTCGAATTTTTTTTTTCTCGGAATGTATGACTTTTCCTAATTATTAACTAACAAATTATTTCAGCCAAATTCCAACAAAGTAATGAGGTTCAAGTGCTGGCTGCTCAACAGAGAGACAAGTAACAACGACCTTAAATAATTAGGAAAAGCAACACAATATCTTGTCCGCCTACACGTGTGTTAAGAAAGAATCATTGTTTGCTATTGCCATTTACATGATTTTCTACTACCATTTATTTAAGAAGCTGACAGATAAACAAATAAATGAAATAAATAAATAATAATATGAAAAAGATGTTCAATCTTTCATTCATATACTTGTGTCAAAACAAGTATCATCATTTCCTTCAATAAAGGATAAAAAATGTTAAACCGTTAAAAACATGAGCAATTTGGGGAAAAATATTTGCTATATTCACGTAGCTCTTGCAGATTTTTTTAGAGGTGAAAAATAAAATTTGAACTTTCTTATAGGCTAAGAAAATTATAAGTATTTACTTGTAACAAAAAAATTTCTATTAGATATAATATTACTAGAACATCAATATTAGATACATTAATTATTTATTGAATAAAAAGGAAAATACATAAAAAATTGTAAAATGTCAAAATTAACAGTGCTTTCAGTTTTTAATTATTTATAATGTTATTCAAAAACAAAAGTAAGTATAAAAATTTTGTAATGAAACTTTTGTGAAGTAATTACACACAGCTAATTTAATAAAACCCAACTAATTTTAAATAATAAAAAGTTATATCTTTTTAAGTGCATTGTTAATCTTTTAACTCTACATAAAGTTTTAGTTATATTTCTGAGTTTCATAAAGTACTCTTTCCGCTAAAAAATATAAGCATTTTTAATTGAATCTCACTCACAATAAAATAGTTACTTACTTTTAAACTAACATCATCTTTCCATATTTACCCCTATTAAACTCCTTACAATAAATATAAAGTTATTTATCAATAGGGACACTTAAAAAAAAAAGCAATAATTACACATCGAAAGACTAAAAATTCTATATATTTTTTAATATCCAACTCTTCAAAAAATTTCTTACATTTTTTAACGGAGGGAGTATTTTTCTAATCTTGTAGGCCTAATATTATCAATTTTAAATGATTACTTTTTGTGTCAATTATTGTCAAGGACGCAAAATTTGAATAAATGGAGCATAAAAATATAAAATATAAAATTAAAATTAAAATACTATAAAAGATAATATAAATTTATATTACCAAAAAATAATAATGTAAATTTAAATTTTATAACAACTTGAGAGCTTAAAATTTTGACTAAAAAAAGTTAAGATTTTAAAATATATTAGATTTAAGTGAAATATTAAAGGCTTAAATTTTTTAGAGCTCAAATATGTTTTATTTTGGGGTTAGTAGATTCAAAATTATTGGATAGTGTGTGCAAATTTTCAAAAGTTACAATGCATACTTGTAAATTTTATCAAGTTGAGTGAAGGCATTTGTCCACCTTCACATCAACCTAGATCCATTGCTAATCATTGTTATTTTTTAAAAAATTAAACTTAATATGTTAATATTTATAATTATTTTATCAATATTTAAAAGTTAATTAATAAAGTAATTTTTCATTGATGAAATTAACACATTAGGGTTATAGGACTAAAAAAATATTTTATAAAATTAAGAAACCACAATAAAATATTATGTAAAATTAAAAGATTAAATGTATACTTTATAGTCTAAAATAATTTTTATCATAATAAAAGGGGCACTAAGTAACAACTACTGTATGCTAGAACTTGAAACAATTCATAGACTATGAATACATAGTTAGCTGGTAGGATTGTGCTAATTTGAAAACTTGTTGGAAGAGTTTCTTAATGGACAAAAATTTCAAGATTGCAATGGCTAGCTTCAAATCAAAATGTCTCTAAATATGGGATTTTTATATATTAACAACCGGACTTTTTTAAAATTTACAACTCAACCTTTTTGCTTATTTTAAATTGAACCTTTAGAAGTGACGAATCAGACAAGGAGCAAAATTTAAAATATTCTAGAATATGGGGACTAAAATGAATTTTCACATTTTTTATAAATAAAAATTAAAAAAAGTTAGAAAGCAATAGTGAAATTTGGGGGGCCCTTGCGCCTCTGCATTCTTCTCCGCTTTTGATGTTCCAATTCGATCGGGTTAAATGATCCTGAACATCAGGTTCGTCACTATTTTAATTAACTGCAACTTTCAAATTTACAACTTCTAGTTTTTGCAAAGAACTCGTTATAAATTAGACATGGGATTTCATATGTGTGTGTATTACTAATTAACAACTGGCTTTTTAGTACTATTGTATAATTTAACTATTGTTCACTTCCAATTGAGCTTTTGGAGCTTTGAAACATATTTTAAGAAAATGATACTCCCTCCATTTCAGTTTATAAGATATTTTTAAAGGTAATTTAATATTCTAAAATATAAGATATTTTGAGAAAAGTAAAATTTAATTAATTATAATTATTTCAATATTACCTTCACTGATTATATTTTATTTTTCTATTTAATGTTTCACATACGTTAAACCCTGGTTTCTGTTATAACAAAGATAGAGAAGATTTTGTTTCTTAAGAGATTAAATTCTCAATAAAAGATAAGATATATTTGTGCTTATCGTTTTTCCAAGCAAATGTTTCAAAACTTTTTCTGTTATACATATAGTACCAGTACTGCTCTTTTAATATCCCAATTAATGCTTTCAAAAATACTAGAGATTACCGGTATTCTCATTTCACTATCGATATTGTGGTTTTAACTTAGAAAATTTCAATACTTCTCTTAGTATCAAAACTAAGTTTTAATAACTAAACCAGTTCCACAACTTAAGATATTCAAAGATTCTAGCTAGTTATACCGATATTCTCTTGTTACTACTGATATTGTAAAACCTAAAAGTCCTCAAATATTTTATACTGAAACTATTAGTTAGCGGTATTGAAGTATTTAAACAAGTTCTCATTTATTTTGATTAATATCGGAATTAATATATTAATACTTGTATTGTTGTTCATTTTCTAAAAGATTATACCGGTAATAATATTTATGTCCCCTGTTTTACTAATGCTTTCAAGTATAGTTATCAAACTCTCGATTTAATTTTACAAGTTTAATGTTTTTGTATTTCTAGCTTATAAAATTATGTTAACTTACTTATAAATTCAGACAAGATACAAATTCAATTAAATTCACAAGCTTACCTCCAAATTTATTGTTTTTATATTTTTAACTTACAAAATTATGTCAATTAATTCATAAATTTAGACTAGATGTAAGCTTAGTCAAACTTATTAAGCTCGTTAATTTTTTTTAAGTTGAGCGAGTTAAGTATATATTATGAAGAATTTAGTTCATAAAAATTATAAGACCTAGTTCAAAAGAAAAAAAAAACTTAAAATGCAAAAATTAATATTAATAAAAAAAGAAAAATATCAAAAATAAGTTCTACTATTTTAAAATTTTTATGTCTTATATATCATAATTTATTAATGTAGATGAGTTTAATTTCAATGATTTATACTTTTAATATGTTTAAATTAAATTATAATTATATTTTAATGGTTATATATAGTTAACAAAGGTAAACTATTATAAGCTTTCAATTTGAGTTTACAATATGAGTTTACATTATTATCACAAGTTTATTTAAATTTGTGAGTTTAACAGTCTTGCTTTTAAGAGTTTGTGAATCATTACGGATACTACGGAATTACTATCGGTACTCTTTGTTTATTTTCCAAATTATTACTGGTACTATTGGCTGATACTCATATTCAACGTGTTATTTCCTAAGTTTTGTAATGGAATATCCATACTGTCTTGTTACTACCGATATTTATGTGTTAAGTTTTCAAAACTGAGTTAAGTATACTAGAATGGTTGTTTCTTCAAGCATATATATTATCTATCAATGAGAATTCCTATGCTATCCAATCACTACTAGTATTTGTTTCCAAACAATATATTTAAACACCAGTACAATTTGATTACTTCAGGAAGTAAGTCCTTTAAACTTATAAGTTTTACGCTGATATCACTCGTATTGTGGCATTACTGCCGACATTCCCTTCAACGAAAATATGTCAAAGCATTAAATGCTATTTAATAAAAAGTAACCATTTATGCCTTTTCCAATATGTCCGAAAGTACATATCTTGTCCATCTTTTCTGGGGAAGCCCCTGCTGCTGTAGACAGCAATGGACGTAGGAAACTGAGCTAATGGGGGCATAGTTATTTAAAATTTAAATAATAAAAAATAATTTAATATATATAATAAATATTTAATTTTGTAAAATAACCTTAAAAAAGAAAAATTAAAATAATATTTTTATAAAAATAATCTAAATTTAAATATAATGTACTTAAAATTTAAAATATATTGAATTTAGGTAAAAATATAAAAGATTTAAATTTTTCTGAACTTAAATATATTTTAATTTGATTCTTGTGAATTTAAAATTATTAACGTAATGGGGGCACATTTTTAAAAATTCCACCTCCTCTTTATAAATATTCTCAAGATGTGCCCCCACTGTACCTGCGTCTGCCACTGGTTGCAGACATGAGAAGAATGATGATTTCATTGCACCTCTTACAAGTTACAATTATCAGAATTCAAGAGCAACGACTAATTATTAAATGAGTCTTAACGGATATTTTATTAGTTTGCACTGGCTATAAATGCAACTCTTGTATGAAAAGGAAGCATACGTGCTTAAGCATTCGATATTCGCAGCAAGTCTCTGTTGCTACATTCATTATCCCTGTACTCCTTCCATTTTTAATTATTAAAGAAGTTATCACTTTTAACTTACATTTTTTTTATAAATAAAAT